GTCTGTGATGGATTCTTAAGCACATGGCTAATACATATTTATAATTGTTGGCACGAGATATGCAGAGCTTTTAAGATATCTGCTAATTTGAGAAAAAGAATGTTTCAGCTGAGACGTCTGCCACTCGCATTCCTATTACTTTCATACTCTATCCCTTTTCTTTCATTGCGCGTTAAAAGTGTACAAGAACGTTGGAGCCGTAAAACCGGTTCGCTTGTTCCCCGGAAACTTTGCGGCGAAACGAAATTATCGTGTAAAATGAAATTTCGCGTCGCGTTCGATTATTGCGTTACACTCGAGCTTAATTGAATTGGGAAACTTTCCCTTCCTCTCTTTCACGCCTTTCCATCCGCGTCCCCTCGTCTGTTCCTCGTAGGAAGGAATATTCGAGTCCAAATCGAAGAACCTCGGATCGAACTAGTCGACGACGAAAAATACTTCCGATCTTAATCTAATTTTAATAAACTGTAGATTATTTCTGTTCAGAATGTACTTGTGCTTTAAAGAAATCGCGTTTATTTTTGTATCATGACTATCCAAACTGGCTTTGAGACCAGAATATTCCTTAATCGCTCAAGGTGTATCGTGTATCATCTGCGACTACCTGCGAGTCCTAATAACCTTATTACCTAGTAAATCCCAGGGACCTACCCTTCCTGGCTAATTCTTACCCCTGCATGTCCCAAGGTCTTGAGTCCTCGGTTCGCCTGCGACCTCCGTATTGTAGCGAACACCTGAGTATACCTGACCCCAGCTGTTAACGATTATTTACTATCCTGTGGCTCTTGGAACCTGACACTCTCTGACAAATTATACTGCCTGTTACTAGCCCGTCCACACTCTTTACTCGAGATATACTAATCGTAAGGATAGATTGGATCACCTGACGACTGTCTCATTCCGGACTTGGTAATAATGAAAACGAAGCGACATAAATACGCATTCGAAATCCTGAGGCGAACGTAAACGCGGGGTCAACCGCGGATGGAATCGAGTGAAAAGAATCCGCGAACTCGGTAAGGTCGATATTTACTCTGGCAGAAATCCAGGGTCGTAACGGTGCCAACTCGGATGCGGATAATATCGCGTCCTCCGCTCGAGATATGCCGCGTAATTATCGCCTCTCGACGAATTCGCGCCCCCAATTTTCTTTTTCCACTCTCGCGACTCGAGAGAGATTAAACAGGGAAACTCGTGAAAAGGGTCGGCAGACATTCGAATTTAGCCGAACGGCGAAGTTCGCGAGAAACGCGAGAAAATCAGCAGCCAGCCATTCGGCCAGGTAATCGATAATTTCTTTTTATTCGAGCCGCGACCCCGAAAGGTATTCATTTGGAAGTATAAAAGCCGAAGGTTTCGATACCTTTAAACGGGTTCGCTCGGTGCTTCGTTAAAACCCGGGAAAATAAAGAGAGCCAAAGTCGGGAGGGAGTCGGGATAAACGATTATCGCGGGCATCTCCGGGGAATCGTTGCGTACGAGACGGATGAACCGGTCTTATCGCTGCCAGACTCACGAGAACGCACCGTGAAATCAGTAGAAGTCCGGTCTTTCTATTTCTCTATGGGAAGGGAATTCTCTAAAGTCCCCACGATTGGATCTGGCTACCCTACGTTGTCGAAGGGTGTCCCTGCTTACCCACCCTTGCAGGGACGTACTTTACGCTTGTAACATTGTATCTTACTGTTATACATATAAACGGAAACAAATAAAAATTCTTTATGACCGAGAAAAATAGGTGTAATAATTTTATAAACCTTACTTCTCTGTAATTATCATTTCTCCTAAACGTTCATTGCTTTAAATGTTGGACACAGCTTTTTATATGTCTTAAACTTTTGGCAGAGGTCTTAAGCTTATACAACCTTAAGAAGGCATTAAGTTAAGAAAATATTAAAAATAAGTAGATATAATAAATATAAATATATTCTATATATATGAAGATTTTCATGTGATGTACTGA